GCACGATCCAGCGAGACGTTCAACGTGGGAAGGAGGCGACAGAAGAACGTAGTTCTACATTATCAATACATCACCCCGGCCGAGGGTCAAGTCGGCGAATAAAAGATCACTGTGTACCCCCAATCTTCTGTGCGCTTTTCACTGATCAACAGGGCGGTCACGTATATATAAATTTGGTGGAACGAACACTTACATCTTCTGAGCTAGCCGCACGACATTCGTATCGAGCAGATAATAAAGAAAATCAGTTCGTTACAGTAGTATAGGGTAGCTTCGTACCCCCCGGCCATGTCCGGCCTTAACATATTTATATATATATTTTATAAAAGTTTGCTTGACTGCAAGTCAAAATAAAGTGTTGGATTAATAAAAAAATTATGTTAATGGTCATTTCTTGGGCAATTGAGCGATGTTGGTAATTTTTTACAAAACGAAAAAAAAGAAGTTATTCGCTTTATTGCGATACGAATTGGCGAGGAAGAGAAGATGAAAACGGCACTCGCGATGATTGAAACATCTAGCAGAGGTTTCTTCTGGTGGTTCCAATTAAAAATAAAAACTTTGTTCTTCTGCTTGCATTTAAATGTTGGTTAATTATTGATGGGTGTTGTTGATTGTTCAGAGGAGTCTTATAGTGCCGAAATTGAAATAATAATATTGAAGTAATTGTTATTTTTTCATGGGTTGATGGCTCCTTTCTGGCCAATTGGCGGTGACAGCTACGATTTTCTCGGGTTCGTGTCCGTGGTCCCGACGAATCTGCACAGATCGTTTGTACATCCGGAGGAAATTCAGAATCAACAAAAGAATCAAGAGTCCAGTAATGAGGCACAAAACATTGTAAACTTAGGACATTACCTCCTTATGGTCTACAATTTTGACGTTGTTCACCACGTTTGCCGTGTTGTCGGATGTCTTCGAGGTAGTAAATCCCATGATATATAAATAGTGTTCTTCTATCGGGTTCTAGATTCGATCACTCGGATAAGACCTCCGCGATTACTGGTTTTGTCAGTAGTAAACTTAAAGCGGTTCTGCGGTAGTTTCTGTCTCGACTCCCGATTCTCAATTATCTTGCACTGTGACTGCCCGATTCTAAGGTGGGGGCTCTTTTATACCGGTGGTATTGCTTCCGGGTCATCTAAGTGTTCCCACTTAGGTACAGCACTTCCCCGCTTTCTGGCTTAATGGCCCAATTCTGCATTCTGCTAGGTTTCAAATTAATTGCTGCGCACACCCATTGCCTGCTGCATGTTCTTATGAAGTGCTTACTGTGACCAATTTGTTACTGGTTACTGTATTGGCCAATTTCGGTGTTTCGCCACCTGCACTTCACAGTGTCTTATTGTATTTATTCTTGTTCTTGTTGTTTCTTGTGTTATTCCTTACCCCGCTCGCGTAACAAACGTTTCTACGAAAATAAGTTTATATGCTTCACGTACTTTCACTGACCAAGGGCAACCTAAAAGAAACCAAACTCCAGATTCAAAGTGAGGAGAACTACCTTATCGTAACCAAAGCATTAAACGACAAAAATAAAAACTTTTGTACGTATCAGCTTAAAAGCAGCAACGGCTGCAAGTGGTAATAAAAGGAATTGAACTATTGTCGATACAGTTCGTTCTTTCGAATCGGAAGACTTTTCGGTAAAAAAAGACATAAACATAATTAACAAAAATAAAGTTTTTCAGACAACGTTCAAACTCATTTCACCCCATTTATAATCTTGTATACATCTGCATCGTAGAATATCTGTTGAAGAATCACACATAAGGAAAACCCCGGCTCAACTGTGAAGAATTAGGTCACACGAAAATGTATTGCACCCGTTGCGTGTCGAAACCAACATGCCACAGAAAATTCGGTAATTGCGGTGGTAACCATACTGACAACTATAGTGGATGCCCGGTATACAAGACCTTAAAAGAACATTTGCAATTCCAGTATAAAATTAATCGCCCCTTGATTTCGAACACTATCCAAACGGTTTCATCTGCCAATAATCTTAAGTACTCTCCATTAAAGGCACCCTAACGCAAAAACGCCAGCATATTCATTTGCTAACGCTCTTCGGTATCTAGGTATGGTTGCAATCACAACAACAGTACCAGAAACAAACAGCGATTCAACAGATCCAATAGCAAACACTTTAAAAACTCCCAATGTCTAAGAATCACTTATATCCTCCTGCGTCAAAGCCTTATGACCTTCTTGGCATTCATGCAGAAATCATTGTCGGAGTTAATGAAGAATCAAAATCAACTGGTTCAAATACTTACCAACCAACATAATAAATAATGTCCTCCCTTAGAATTTGCTTCTGGAATTCTAACGGAATATTCCATCACAAGCCAACGCTTTTGCAGTCCCTCCGCCAGTTGAAAATTGACATTATGTAAGTCTCAGAAGAGCATCTAACAAGCAAAAAAAAACATTTATTACACTAATATTTATATATTTTATGGCTCGAATCATTCAGACAGCAAAGCCCACTGTGGTACTGGTCTACTGGTAAAAAACGTATAAAACAAAATTTTTGTCAAGCGTACGAACCAACCTACTTGCAGGATACAACAACAGGCATAAAAACAAACTGTAGTATGACCTCACAAGCCGCTCCTTACCAATCTCCTCGATTTTCTGTCCCCGAAACCGTTTCCTAGCAGCAGGTGTGTAAATGTAAAGCACACTCACTTGGATACTCGCCATCTAAGTCCGAAAGGGAGCCCACTATACAGGTCGACTATCCAAAAAAGCAATAAACTGGACTTTGTCTTGCCAGAAAGACTTACCTACTGGACAAATGGAGCTGAAGGCCGTTCACAGCACCTGGACTAAGACCAAACGCGCACACCACATATGTCTCAATCCAGAATACTGAGATCCCCAAGGTCATCAAGGAGCATCTCAAGCCAAATTAATTTCCTGCGCTTGTCAAAATCACACCCAAAATGGTAATATAAATCCCTTCTTGCGCAATAGATAACATCAGAACATTTTTAATGCCATAACGAAATTGGTCACTTTCCGCAACAGTGGAAGAAATCGATTATAATTATGATTCCGAAGCCGGGAAGCTCTTGGATAAACTTTAACGCATTATGCCCCAATTGACATAACGCAGCATCATCCCGGATCATCATTTTGGATTAAGAGAAAAGCATGGTACCATTGAACAAGTCAATAGAATCACTTCCAAAATTCGAACTTTGAACACAGGGAGTATTCTGTTATCTTCCTATACGTCTTTAGGCTTTTAACTGAGTTTGGCAGGAAGCTCTTATCTATAAAATTAAGCTCTTACTTCATAATGTACTTGAGTAGCTTTTAAACCGAGTCTATATGGTAAGACACAAAAGTTGCTTAACTAAAAAGGTTGACATCGCGGCAGGCGTACCCCAAGGAAGCGACCTTGGACCTAGTCTTTACCTCCTATACGGCAGATATACCCACAAACCAGCGACTTATGACATCCACGTTCGCCGATAACACAGATATCTGAAGTGGCTCAAAATGTCCACTTAAGGCATCATCATCACGAGCTTTTCATCTACAACAATTGGGTAAAAAGGATATCTGATTGGCGGATAAAAGTGAGCGAGCAAAAAATTCAAACATATTACATTCACACTCAACAAACAAGATTGTCCACAACTATCACTAAATCACGTATTATTACCATCTGCAATTGAAGTCACATATCTCGGAGTACACCTAAATAGGCGTCTCACATATAAGCGAAGCGGGAACAAATAAACCATAAGTCCTCACAATTGCATTAGCTATTAAACTTCCGCTCTCCACTACGGTTAGAGTACAAAGCAATGCTCTAACACACTGGGCAGTAACAGAAATATTGAGCTGATTCAAAGAGAACAGTCAAAAGTGCTTATAACTAGAATTAAATCCACAGAGATCTAAGCATCCTGTTAGTAAAAAAAAAAAAATTACCCAACTGCAAGACAAATACATATCCAAATTATCAACGCACTCCAGCCAGTTAGCACACTCTCTCTCTGCGAATTTTGAACACAAGCCCGACTTAGAAGAAATGACTTACGTAGCTAACGAAGCCACACATCTACTGTATGACCCTATTAAAGTGCATAATGTACATTTATGGATTTCTGATTTTGTAACTTGTTGTTAGTCCCCTAAGAAATTTGCCAACAATAATGGTTTTTTAAGTGTATATAACATTTTTCATCTGTTTACGATTTGGATCATCGATAGCTTATTTTAATACAAGTATAAAATTTAACTTTTTAATTTTTAAAGGATTTGATTCTTGATATAGCTCGAGCATGAAAGTTCTGCATGAAACTTTCTAAAAAGTCATAGGAAGAATCGAGTAAACGAAAGGAACAAAATATAAAACTTTGCTGTTTTTTAAGTATATTTAAGGTTTATTATAGCTTAATTTTGATTAAAATTATACAAATATATATATATATATTTTGGGTTATGGTTAAATAATTCACAATTACGCTTTTAATTTAACTAAATTGGAATAACGATATTATATAGCTCTCATAGGAACGATCTAATAATTGAACTGAAAATCATCTATCTTCAATGTTTTCGAACATTCACGCATAAAAATCGTAATTGTGCAATAGCTGAAAGGGTATAAAAACTTCGGTTTGCCGTAGTTAGCTTTTATTCTTTTTTTTAATTTAACTGGCCTTGTGCTGATAAATCACTGAATATGCGGAGGAATTAAAACATTTTGAGTTTTTATTTCGAATCACATTTGTATCTTGATTACTAATGTCAAGGATTTTTTTGTGGGTCCAAAACAATCTATACATAGTCGATATATAAAACAATAAATTTTTTTAAAGCTGAATGGATCAACGTCAATCTGCAGAAGTAAGCTTCCACTCTTGTTTTCTCCGAATTTCACAAAAAATTAATATATTGTTTTAGTAGTAATGTTAAATTATTATATTCCAATCGTTGCAGGACATTCAAAGCAAACTTAACGTTGCATATAAAACTATACAAATCTATTTTAAAACACCATTGCCCGTTGCGAAGATTGATGTGATTGCTATCCCTGATCTCCCCTCAGTTCGATATGTCAGCACATGTGGCATGCTGATAGTAAGGTATGGTGATTACGATGATTAATTTATTTATTGTAAGTCAAATACTTCTTTACTTCATAGAGAGGCTGAATTGCTTAAAAATGGTGTTTTTGACATTTCGCGGGAACTTATCTATCAATGGATTGGTATATGGATAACTCCTGATTGGTGGACTGATGCCAAAGTAAACAAAGCACTAATAAGTTTTATAGCATCAGAAATAGTAACTGAAGTAAGTCGTTCTTAACATATTTGAACAAAATATTTTTAATTGAACTAACAAATCCTTAACTACATGTAAAGTGATATTTAATATTTATTTGATTATTTAGATAAATGATGGAGTAGAGTTTAATGGCAAATATCCAATGACAATTCTTTACTCATTGTATTATGAGTTAAGCAAGAGGTATCCCCATTCTCGCATAACCGGAATGAAACAGGAGTCTACGTCTTTCAAAGTGGAGCTTGTTATTCGAATGCTTAGACTTTCCCTAGGAGAGCATACATTTAAAATCGCAATACAAAGATTAATTTGCGATCACAAATTCAATACATATAAAGCGGTTGACCTGTGGAATGTTATTTCCGAACAAGCTAAAGAAGATAATACGCTTGATAGTAAGCTTAGTATATTAAATATTGCCGAGTCTTGGTTACAGCAAAGCCGTCTGCCACTTATCACAATAACGAGAGACTACAATTTGGGAACTGCAAATATTCAACAAAAAGTGTATCTTCGGGAGAGACCCCACGATGTACCCGAGCAAGACAAAATGCTATGGTGGATCCCCATTGCGTTAGTTCGACAAGATACTCTTAATTTTCTTAAATATAGTCCATATACATGGATAAATAAGACTAAGCAAACTACAATTTTTAATATGCCAAGTCAAACAAAGTTTATAATTGCTAACCAAGAGGAAATCGGACCATTTCCGGTTAACTATGACGATAAAAATTGGAATATGTTGCAAATATTTCTAAGAACAGACGCTGGAAGGGAATCAACACCAGTATATACGAGGTACATATTGCTTTTTATTCCCGAAACGACTTTATTATTGTATCGTTTAAAATTAAAATTAAATTTCCAACAATTGTGGAATCGCGCAAAATTCCGAACACCTAAAAACAACCGTTTTTGAATTTTATAATAATGTATATGTTTATTTTTCTAATAATATTTATAAATTTTTAAATTTCTTTAACTTATTTTTAAATAGAGTTGCGCTTAAAGTACGTATGGTAGACTGTTCCAAAAGCGGATTGCAGTGACGTAGAACTGCCTCTCCGAGCAGAGAGATCGACTGCGAGGGCATTTATAGTTATTAGTTCGTTATGATATAGATACTGCTTAGATACATCGGTTCGTGGCTGGTAACAATTTTATAGAAGTAATTTATTGATTTATATTTAATCCATGAGCTTAAATTTAGGTCAAGAATTTTATTAGAATTATAATTAGAATTTTATTATTATTTATCACACCTGATACAAATATTTCAACACCGTAGAATAGTGTAGGAACGAGGATGGCTTTGGCGATTAGGAGCTTTGAATCTACTGGCAGGAAAAATTTTGTATCGGAATGTTTACGTAGCACATCATATCCTCGCCCGGTTGCTTTCCCTAGACAATACAAAGAATGTTGTGATTCAGAGAAACGAAGGCCTTGCTATGTTCAAGAAGAGTCAGGAGAATAACGTCATTTTGGTCGATTTGCCCTGACTGTTTATTGTGCAGTAAAAAGTTGCTTTCTAGGAAATATTGAATCTGTACACACATAAGGTTTTCAAAAACTTTGTAATGAAAAAGAAGGATGGAAATTGATCTATAGTTATTGTTGGCCTTTGGTATCGTAATTATTTTTTGCTCTTTTCCATACCGTCGGAAAAAGAAGAAGAAGCAGTTTTATGGCAAAATGAACGGTTATTAATATTTTTAAAAACTTTGGGCTAATATTTTCTAGACCAATAGAACTGGACTTTACTTTAAGAATAAAAGCAAGGCCATCACATTGACTTACGCACATGAATCTAAACTATTATCAGAGTGTTCTGGAATTCAGGTACATGTTAGAAGAAGCTTTAGGTATATTGATGGATGAAAACTTGTGGTTAAGTTCTTCAACAAAAGACAGTTTGACCAGTTTTTTGTGTAGCTTTACTTATTCCTAAGCTATTCAATTCTTTCCATTTATGTTTCATCGAGGGACAGTTGATAAAATTCGTTTTAATGATGATCCTTTTTAGCTGAGCGTATCTTCTTGGTAACGGCTTCTTTAGCCATCTTAAATTGTTTATGAAAGAGGTCAGTACGGTATCGCTTCCATCTAAAGTAAGCGGTAACGCGCTAATAAATAAGGTTTTTAATTACATGATGACTTTACTTTATGTTAATATTCAAAACAACCACCTGTTTCACCCCGACGTTTAGATATTTAAGGCTTATTAGGGGCGCAAGCTAAATTTTTAGAGTTTTAAAAATGTTTTCAAAGAACTGAATAGGGTAATTTATATTAAATAATAATAAAACAAGAAAGCAAGCAAACTTCGGCAAGCCGAAGTTCATATACCCTTGCAGCTATTTCACTAAACTAAATACTCTTGAAAACGTTAAAATTAGGATTTACTTGCCTGTATGTTTAAAAACATTGAAGCTATAATGATTTGCAGCTTAATTATTCGATAGTTCCTATGGCAACTATACGATTGTTCCTATGGGAGCTATATGCTATAGTCGTCCGATTTTGATGAAATTTTAACCGTAATTCTGAAATATTTAACCATTACTATATCTCGAAGAACTAAAAAAAAAATGAAAAAACACCAAAGTTATAATTTTTTTTATTTTTTTTATGATTGTTCCTATGGTCGTCCGATTTTGATGAAATTTAAACCGTAATTCTGAAATATTTAACCATTACTATATCTCGAAGAACTAAAAAAAAAGAAAAAACACCAAAGTTATAATTTTTTTTCAATTATTTTTCCGATTGTTCCTATGGGAGCCATATGCTATAGTCGTCCGATCCGGCTCGTTCCGACTTATATACTACCTACAATAGAAAGACAACTTTTTGGAAAGTTTCATGCGGATAACTTTAAAACTGAGAGACAAGTTTGCGTAGAAACGGACGGACAGACGGACGGACAGAAGGACAGACGGACATGGCTAGATCGACTCCCCTAGTAATGCTGATCAAGAATATATATACTTTATAGGGTCGGAGATGTCTCCTTCACTGCGTTGCAAACTTCTGACTGAAATTATAATACCCTCTGCAAGGGTATAAATATCTTAACTCAAGATTCAAAGAGAGTGAATTCAATGTAATTAAGAGCGAAAGCTATCATCTGCAGATGAGGTAGTCTCTCTCCCCACCGAAGCGTGAGTAATGGCAGCATTTGAAGAGGTAATTAGAGGATCGGCGTGCATCAAAGAAAGCTCTTCATTCCTCTCGCGGCAGTGAACGCCCTCTTTACCAGTGCAACGAAAATGCAAAAGACCGAGACGTGTAAATACAGCAGAGAGCAGTCGACGCTTCTTCATTTGCATTGCCTCTTTAAATATTTTGTAATTCTCCTTGGAGAGCTGCTCATTGATGTATACTGAAGCGTCTGATCTGAGACCCAAAAGCTGCAAGCTCAGTTGACTTTTTTTCCCCCGGACGTTTTCTAATCACCGGATCGACGTGCGTGAGCTCCAACAGTTGTGGCGAGGGGCGTCCAAAAGTCGTTCACTTGTAAGCCCAACATTGTTACGGGTAGGCTTAGTCGGCGGCGCCGTAGTAACAGGCATTGTGTACTCATTTTTTTTTTTTTTTTTTGTAACAGGTAAATATTTTCGAAACGTGTTAATATTTTTGTTTTGCAGTGTAAATTTAGCTTACAGTTATTGAAGTGTGGATCTTAAGAGTGTACTTGAAAACTAAACTGTGTTAGTATGTGGGTACCGGTGCAATGTTTGATAGAAGTATAACCCACAGACAGAAACAAAACACACAACGGCTTTGAAAAATATCTTTAAACAGTTCTTTTGTTTAATATGTTGGTTAAAATTGGTGACTTTTCCGTTTTATAGATAGATTCAGTGTTTATGCAAAGTTTTGACACCAAAGGTGTTTTATCCGAATAAAATATCGATTATATGAATAACTTAAACGAGAGAGCTATTAAGTATAAGTCTGCGCACAGTGGCTTTTGGCTTGGCTTTTGTCAAAAGAAAAGGATGTAACGGGACAGCACCGGACTTCGGGCGAAAGGCCAAACGATAAAACCGTGGACTTTGGACTAGGAGGCAAGGAGACGTCGATAACTAGCGGTAAACAGAGGACCATATAAGCAGGCCGAGCGCAGGAAGGTGGATCAGTCAATTTATACCAAGTCAACAAGTAACAGTCATCAAGTGAACCAGTAACCAGTGAAGCAACGTGAGGAACCAAGTCAAGCCGTACGGAGTTGGTTGAACAAAGAGAGTCCTTCGACGAAGAACTAGCTGTCTTGAACTAGTTGCCTGCCTACAAGGACTGCATTGACGAACTCCGGCATACGCCTGACCGTCCTGCAGGAATTGTACAAGGTCCTGGTGCGACTAGCCCGGAAGGACGCGGGTTTGTTCAGCTAGTGTCTCGAAAGGCGTATGCGTCAAAAGCACAGCAGCTCACCGCTAAAGTCCCAGAACGGCAGCTTACCGAATCGTAAGCGCTACGCCAATAAAGAGCGGAGCCAGTCGAGACATCCAGAAATCAGTAAAACAACGTAAAAATCAATTGAAGCCGTGCGGAGTCATTAAGGAGCAAGAAGTTTGAAGTCTCCGAATAGAGACACTGGTAGCTAAGGTCCTTACGTCATCACACGACTAAGTCAAGGCGCTTTGTCTCAACTTCAGTCTCGATTTGAGCTTGGCGTATTGCCCGGCGTGTCAGGCGGAGTTACACAAAAAGAGTCCTTCGGAAGGGAAGTTGTCTAGAGCTAGCTGCTTTGCTTTAAAGATCTTATAGGCGAAGTCAGGCGTACGCCTGATCGTCCTGCGAGAATAGCCCGTTACACGCGTTACATTGGCTGGTGTCTCGAAGGGCGCATGTGTTAAGAGCACAGCAGTTTCCAATTTAGTCCAAAAGCGGTAGCTGACCGAATACCGAGAGCCAAAGACCCTGCTACGCTTGGACTTGCAGGAAAGGGCAAGAAGCAGAGCCATGAAGTCGTACCAGGAAGCAGAGCGGGGACATCGCGAACTGCAACTTTACAAGTCCACGGCAAAAAGGCTAGGGTGGAAGCGTTCGTCTAGAACCTAGCGTGTGTCTCAGGAACTGCGTTGGCGGGTTCCGGCGTACGCCTCAACCGTTAGGTAAGAACTCAGCAGGCGTTCGGTGCGACCGGCCGGGACAGAGCAAGGGACAGGGGGTTATAGAGTTACCCACAAGTTACTTTCATCACCAGGCAGAGGGTCAGTACGGCGAATAAAGATCCCTGTGTATACCCGAACTTTCTGTGCGTTCATACTTGACAATGGGCGTTTATATAAATTTGGTGGGACAAGCACATACATCTTCGGAGCTAGCCCCGGAAACTAAAAAAATCAGTTCTGGCACCCAAAACGTGATTGTTATGACAGTAAGAATCAGCATAAAACAGAAATGGGAAAAGAATGGACTTATCTCCTTAAGAAAGAGGATTTCCCGAGGGTGGCTGCCAAGCTGAGTATTACCCTGGAAGGCAAGTCGCGAGACATACGGAAAGCCCTCTCTGAATACGTCACAAAAACCCAGGAAGACCAGAGTATGGCAAAAATCGCAGACCCAACAGTAAAATTGCTGAGCCCAGACGCAGAACAGCTTAATGCAAGTTTGGGCGTGGAGAGCATGAAGGAGGCAGGAAGTACCAGTGGCAAGACAAAACAGAAGACTAGACTACGCCAAAGTCGCCAAGCAAAATGGTCAGCAAACACCTATGGGCTGAACCTGAACATGATTCCCCGAGCAATGCCAGAATTGCTGCAAGGCAAAGCGTTAAAATTATGTAT